AACTTAAAGAGTTATTACATAAGAAAATTAGTCTAGGTAATATATAGTTCATTCTGTCCCGTCAAATATAGAAATAATAAAAATGGGGGATTTAAGTACAATAATAAGCTTCTAAAAGTATCAAGCTCACATTTTTTTTTGCTAATTGATCCGTTAGCTACTCCATTAGCCTCTCTATATCCAAGAAGTATAAAAAGCCTCATCTTGTTAATTATCTTATATATTTTTTCCTCAAAATAAACATTTTACGAGTCAATTTTATTAATATTATAAGTTATATAAATTGAAGTAAATCAATTCAATATTTTAAAATTATATAAAAATACTATAAATTATATTTTCTTATAGTAATATAAAAAATATATTTTAAAATATTGATCAAAACTTATATAATTTATATCTGACATATTTATACTACTTTGACCAACGTAAGGATCTTACTTTATCTTGTTTGCCTTTGCATTAATTCTATTATATACCTAGTTAATGCATTTTTCCTTAGTTGGTGTCTTAATAATGGATTATTCGGTAAATCGATAACTCATTAAGACTATAGTAATTTACTATTTCACTCCTACATAAATATTGTAAATATTAATATCAATACCTTACCAATTACTTCATTTGCCTTTTAGCATTCAATTACATCACAATGACTTTGAGTTCATAAGAAACAAACTTTTTATTTATTTATTGCACTTGTATAGTTCTTTTTATGCAAGGTACTATTGTTTCTATTATATGAACATTATGTAAAGTTACATTATTGTCCTATCATATTAAATTGTTGGAGAAGTTATATATTTGTTTTATGAGCATTTTCTTATTGGTTAAATCGAAAACCAAAAATCGATAAGAATATCTTATTGATTTGATTATTGATTTAGCGTATTTAAAATAGAAAAATGATAAAACCGAACTGATAATAAATAAAACGAATTAATACCGACCAATGCACTAGCAAATCTTATTTTATTTTAACACTATATTTATCATACAAATAACTAAATATATAAATAATTAAACAAAGTAACAATAGTCAAATTTAAATAAGGATTATGCATATCTCAACTTACATTTTTTAGAGTACGTAGTAAACTACAATTAATTAATACACGACCTAATCTTATTTTTTTGACTTAATTATAATAAAATAGTCTAAAAATTAGTTGTGGACTTGTGGATACATTTTTACCGTCATTAAATAGTAGTATGTTTCACATTGACTGAAGGACTCATATATATGTTTGACCAACTTAAACAATTTGAGTTATTTTTGACCAACTTAAACAATTTGAGTTAATTTATGTGATTAAAGTAGATTTATTTTTTCTTTTATGATCGGGTGTATGGATCAGTTTTTACGTACCTCGATTAATTTTACAGGATACATGTCATCTCCCGTCAGCGACATGTACCAGGTAACTCTGTCCACCAAGACTAAGACAGATGAAAATTGAAAACAATCACCTAGTATTTTTTTTTTTGTCTCCGTTAAGTTTTGATTTATTGTTCATTTCCTTTGTTACCCTTTTGACTTGGAAGAAGTGTTCATTGATTGTGACATCCCAAGGATTTGATTAATTATTTTTTAATTAAAAAAATGACTTTATGTTCCATAATCTCACATTAATCATGTGCTAACCATACGAATTTTCTTGGACGGTGTTTTGTGTGAAACAATAAAATGTTCAAAACCCTTCACCAATTGTCCTTATCTTTTGCAAGATTCAAGAATTAAATTGTTTTTTGGAGTATACAATTATAGGATATTAAAATGAACACGTTAAAGATGGGGTCAATAAAACAAGGATTATCTTGTTAATCTATCCTTTCAATTTGCTCGTATTGTAACAATGATCAAGAATGTTTTCATTTCCTTTTTATTCTGTATTAAAGTTAGTTGATCCTTTAATTTTGACAAATATTTTTAGCTAAATTTTATGAGAATTGTGTAAAAAAAAAAGAAATTATAAAAATGTTAGGAAAGTCCCATCAAATCTTAGAAATTGCAATACAAAACACGAAATGCTAGGTCAAAAATTAAAAATTGCACCGAAAAATTTATATCAAACTCCGGAAAAAAATCAACTATTATAAAATGAACCTTCAAATGTGAGTTTCAGCTAAGTCCTTGCATTTCAGTTTTTCACCATTCTCGTCAAATCTTTTAAATAAAATTCATTATATATTTGATGCAGATCAAAAGTATTAACTTTTGACAAACTTAAAGGATCAAAAACTGTCCAACACTTACTTTAGGGGCTATCCTGAACCTACTTCCAAACACAAGGGACGTTTTTTTATTATTTTCTCTAGATAAATGATCCCTCTAATCTCTTTTTATTTATTGAGTATACTAAAAAAGTATCTGAATATGAAAACAAATTTGAAATTTGTGAGCGAAAAATCGAAAAACACATAGAAACCATTTTTTTTAAAATTTCAACTTCTATTTTTCAAATTCAAGGCCGATCGAAAGAATAAGCTAATTTGTTAAACAAACAATTATTTTGAAATACTCTTCAAATATTATTTCGAATCAGAACCAAAATCTATTGCCAAAAGAGCCCTAAAAATTAGAGTATAATGTTGCAGTTTGTACTAAAAATATATCCTGCAGTTAGGTAAAAATATGAGATTAAGATGACCTCTAATTAGACTATAGAACCTCTAATTTGTTTTAAAAGACAAGATAATCATCATTACTTAAAATTACATGTAAAACATGTGGGTCACAAAGGACAAATTTTGAAAAATGATATTGGGGGTGACAAAAACATTTGCTAGGGACCAATAATGCACTGGATTGCCCATTTGAACACTTTGAATTAAAATTATTATTATTATGAACATTAAAGAGAAAGCACCTCAAGAGTAATTTTTGTACCAAACTTCAGTAGCATAGAATCTTTAATTCATTACTACACTTGCCCCCACCTAGCAAAAAACAATTTTTACACAAACATTATGAATTATTGCACAAACTGACAAAGAAGGAAAAAAATAAAAGGAGGATGAAAAGAGATGTGAAAATGTATACTACTATTTTCTATGACTTTTACATCAACTTTTGGGTGAAAAGAAGAAGAAGCAATATGTACATTCAACTATTTTATGTTGTTGAACATTCAATGAATCTTATACGTCTCAATTCTTTATATCTAACTAAACTATTTTACTAAGGAGATTTGTAAAAAGTGAGAATCTTAATGATGTAGTTATATCATTAATGTCATTTATGTTAGATAACGTCAATATCCTACCTATGGTAAAGATCAAATAGATCGAATCGGAGTCACGATCGAATGTTTCACTTTTTAGTTAAGAAATGAAGTTGCACTCTTACTATTAGTTAGATTATGATATGAGAGTGATCATTTGATTCTTACAAGAAACCAATATCACAAATTCAATAATATATTGTGTGTGACAAAGTTTGGGAGGGGTGATTGTTGGTAACACCAACATCCTACCTATAACAAGTTTCAGGTAACGAGCCGATGATGGCTTGTGTTAGAGTTATGATTGAATATGATGCTTGATTGATCCTAATAATCTCTCTAGTAAGCAAGAGCCAATGTCTACACAAGATTTTCTTTCCTTCTTTTTCCTCTTCCCTCAAAAGACACTCATAATAATTTAAGAGCAAGCTCTTACATATGAAAGAATTACTTTTAAGTCATAAAAGCAAGAAAAAGGCACAAGAGTACAACTTGTGTAAAGAATGAATTTGAAAGGAAGTTATCCTTCTACTCTGGGGTTGGAGGGTGAGAGGGATATGATATTTACTCATCATTAATGTTGATTACTGATCACACCTAAATAAATATAACAAAATTTTGACAGTGGACAACACAACAATTGTTGTCTACTTGTACCTCCATTAATAGCATGGGGGGTGCACTGCAAATGTGAGGTGGACTTTCTTGAAAAAGTGAGTGGAGGATAAATCAGAAATTTGAACCAACACATGTACTTTTCTGAGTCGAAGCATTATCAATACATACAATATTTGTTTAGTGTTAATTGTCTTAAAATATTAGAGGGTAAAGTGGAGAGTGTGCAGCAAAGAACATGACTAATGTGCCATGTAGCAAATTACTTTAGACATTCAAACCCTACAAAGGAAAGCAATTTGAATACTACATGAGAGAAAGCTTTGACGCCTCATTGATAACAACTTCAATCAATTGCATATTTCCTTAAGAAAACACCATTATTGAGTATATATATATATATATATATATAAGGCTGCATGCTTAAAGCATACTCTGGGAAAAGTAGAGGCATGCATCAATAAATTCAAGACTTAAATGCAAAGTCATCTTAAGGAAGAACAAAACAACCAAGAGATGCTCAAAAAGCAGCCTAGTTGATTGGCTACCTGAACTTACATCTTGATGGTGAGGTTCGAGCGAACCTTGTAATCCCCTTCACCATTTCCCCCTTTCCATTCCCCCCCAAAAGAAGAAGCTGTGAATAGTTGATAAGTAAAATCTCAGCATGCATCCTTATTTTAGTTCATTTTTTACTTTGAAAGTTGTTACATAAGGGACACATGACACTGTTAACCAAATTTTCCTGCGGATGAAAGGACCATTTGAAATAAAATAACTGAGGACAAACATAGAGATGATGATAAACAATTTACTGAAAAGGTTTCTATCTTTTTCTGTCCGGCTTCCCCAGGGGATGAAGACCGTTGACAGTCGTTTTCTTCATATCTTTGCAAAGGAAAAAAACCATAGCATCTTACCAACTACCCAAAAGTCTGGCTGAAGCTTTGAGGGAGACATTCTTCTTACAGAAAACGAAGATTCACGATGCCCACCTCTATCTTTGAATGTTGCAACAAAATTGGATACTCAAGGGCGAAGATGAGTATGACCAAGCATCTTAACTGTAGAATTTCACGAGTGTTTCCCTTTCAATCATTTTACGTTATTGAGAACAGGAAAAAACCATCCAAAGTAATACCACTATTTCTTCTGCATTCATAGTGTTAATATAGTACAACAACAGTTTCAAGCTTCATGAACTACCGTTAGTGCATATGTAAAGACCCTAAAGAACATATAGTACATATACCAAAGTACTTGATGTAAAAGAGAATCATCAGATTCTCATAATGCTACTGTCTTGTACTAGGATTTGCTAAAAACAGACTTATCTGGAACCCGACCTAGAAGTTTTACATTCTTCACAAGCTACTACTAAGCACAACTGCTAGAAATGAAAGACTTGTGAAGCATAAGAAGGTGATGTAGAGATTTTATCTTACACCTCAAAGTTCACCAAAACGTACCAATAACGTTAACTAAGCTGCCATCCATCTACTCTTCACTATATCACCAAGGTTATTGTCTATCAAGAAGCCAAAATTGTCTGCCTGCAGCACAAATCAAATAGGAATGAATGCTTTCTTCCAAATTGACAGGTCCATTAAAATATTTTTTAGAAAAACACAGTTATGTTAAAAGTACCTTGAAAGCAAGAGAATTGGTGTCCTGACATTTTTCCCAACGATGGCGTTCATGCTATAGCGTGTGCACACCTCAACTATTCCACGGACACCTGCTATCCCACCATCAATGGTGTCCTGACATATTTGTCACCCTTATAACTGACATTGTCACATCCTGTGGTCTTTCGAGCAACTTGTCAACTCTTCACAATCCAACTTGCCTGGTATTATGACATACTTCTTGCTGTTGTTTGCTGCGGTTAACTTTTCATTGAATACAAGATATCCATCCATGTTAGCTTGTGCGCACCCAAAGGGTGGCGGCTGCGGGTTTCCTTTGTTATAAAAAAAAAGTATCCATCCATGTTATTGCTATAGCTGTTGTTGTTTTGTCGTTTACTCTTTCACCATGTACAAGATATCCAATGTTATTGCTATAGCTGTTGTTGCTTTTGTCGTTTACTCTTTCACCATGTATAAGATATCCAATGTTATTGCTATAGCTGCTGTGGGTTTCGTGTGAACCCTTCACATTTCTTCAAGTGGTTCAACTCCAACCCATATCTCCACCCAATTGTATAAGTGTAATCCGAACTTTACTCACCCGATCTTTTACCTTGAGCTGATTTTGAGCAATCATGAAACTGTATGTGAAGTGACCTCATAGCTTGATAACTGCTAGGATATCCATCCAGGACTTGCCCAGTCTAATTCTCTTGAGCTGAATTTCAGCAATCATGACACTGTATTAAGTGATTCAACTCTCACCCATATACAATATATCCATCCATGTAATTGTATAACTGTAAACTATGGACCTTACTAACCTGATCTATTATCCAGAGCTGACTTTGAGCAAGCATGACACGGTAAAAAATGACCTCATAATTTGGTTACTGTTGAGCAATCAATCCATAACCATATAATGCTAGCCATTGCTCAGTGCTCACCCAGTTTAGTTCTCTTGGCTGATTTTTAGGATCATGACACTGTATAAAGTGGCTTAACTCTTTAAGCCACTATACAAGTTATCCATCCAGGTAAATGTTAACAGTAAAATATGTTCATATCGTGAGCTGATCTTCAACAATCATGAAACTGTATAAAGTGACCTCGAAATTTGGTAACTGTTAAGACAACCATCCAGGCAAAGCTATAATGCAAGGCATTATTCACAGAGTCTAATACTATTGAACTGATATCCATCAATCATGACAGTGTATTAGGTGACTTAACTCTTCGCTCATATACAGCAAATTGTATGACTGTAAAATGTGAGCCTCATTGCTCACCCCATCAACTCTCTTGAGATGATTTTCAGATATCATGACATTGTATACAACTATACATGACCTTATAATTTGATAACTGTCAAGATATTCATCCAGACAACAGCATAATCTAAGCAATTAGTCACCTGATCTAATTCTCTTAAGCTGATTTTCAACAATGATTGCCAATGTAGGCGGTGATCTCACAATTTGAGAACTTCACTCTTTTTATGACGTCTTTAAGACGTAACTTTCTAATGTTCTGAAAAGTGACATGAATATCATTTTTGTCGCCTTCATTGATATAATCCGGCGTGAACTTCATGCTACTAATTTCCAAACATAACTTGCTTGGGATTGTTATTGATTATTACTTTCTTGAGATTCTTGTTGATTGTACTTGCTTGTGATTCTTATTGATGGTACTTGCTTGAGATTGTTACGGATGGTACTTGCTTGGGATTGCTGTTGGACTTTTGGGATTGTTGTTGTTTCCTTTAGTTAATGCCCGGAAGCGGGCATAGAAGGTCATCCAACTCAATAAAATCTCCTTCTAAAATGGCAATCAGTTCCTGAGCAGAAAAATCATTGAGAACTGGAGGTCCGTCGCTCTCAAGACAAATCTGTTGCATGAACCAATATAACTCATATTAATGATGCCCATTTATATCAACACAAAAAAGGAAACATCACGACTACTCTAACAAACTAACATAATTAAGTTTGAAGGATAAATGAGAAGTGCTTCAATAAGCTAATAAACCAGGCACACATAAGGTATACTTCTTAGTTCTGAAGCCTAAATTACTAAATGCACAATCGAAACAGTAACTCAGATTCCACTTGTAGAGCAACAACAGCTTTGGAAAGCAGAAAAAATTACCTTCATTGATTTCACTCCAGCCCCAACTTCTCTAAGAGGTTTCTCATATTGAGATGTCAAGAAAACGAGTAGGTAAATTCTAAAGATAAATGCATATCTTGTGCATGTCAAACATTTGATGAGCATATAAAAATAAGTCAATGAAGATGCAAAACAGGAAACAACAAACAATTGAAGCAATTCAACATGAAAGCTTGGGATTATGAATGAAGAAAAAGTTAACTAAGCACCTTTAAAGAGTAATAACATAAAGTTTTCTTTGCGATATACCTGCTTAGCAACATTTTCTGCAACAACTTGACCATTTAAGTCGGTAACTAATCCACTAGGTAACTTTGAGACATCATTCTCCTGGTCAATAGTGTTTTCATCATGCATTTTAGAGCCAGTAACCGATGCAGCTGATCCATCAAATTGAATACCTATATGGCGTACTGTCGCAACAATTTCTTCACCATTGGAACTAAATACATGACCTGACAAGTTATTTCCATGATGAGATTTGATGAATACTCGGCATAGAACAAAAGATGCCTGCACACAAGCAGAAGAACGAGACATGTTACATGTAGCAAATTTATGATATGCAACAAGACAAAGCCACCTTAAACAGAACCACATAATATTTTTTATGACTAATTTCAGAAATATTTATGTCAAACTTCTTAATATGTACATTAAGCACAACCACAGACTAAAGGCAGAGAGAGATAGGAGGTCTACCAACATAAAAGGCAGAATTATGGTCACACTCAGATTGTGTTGCTTTGATAATCTTAATTACCATCAAGACTTCAGAACAATAACACAAACCCAAAAGATAAAGCTAACTTACTGTTGACACTCAGTGATCTGTTTCAGCAATCACATCAAAATCAAATCAAACAAAAGCATAGGCCCTAAATCCAACTCTGTTTTCTATTGAAATGCAGGGCAAATTGGGATACCTTACAAAGTTTCTCTTTACCATAACTAATAATGGGCAACAATATACCTAAAGAGTACAAACACATCCTCAATACAAAACTAATTCTATAATCTACATTGTATAATCAGTGTGGTACTTAGATTTCATCAAAACATACTAGCATATCAATGAAAGTACGAACATGCACAGCACTCCAAGAAGGGAAACAACCAACCACTTCCCGATGTTAGTTTGAACAAAAATTACACCAGAAAAAGGCAAGCCTTTGACAGTGTATTCAAGTAAAAGACTAATAACATTGCAAATTAAGAAAAACTCAATATATTCATTGATGTACGCAAGAAAGATTGTATAGCAGAATGTACCATAGGATGACCAGTTAAGGCGTACTCATGCATCAACCAATCAGTCTTAGTACAATCCTCCAAATAAAAATCAAAACTTTTACGCGTACCCACCACAACTTTCCCTGCACCCGCATCCACCACATCCCTAACTCTACCCCTCTTCTTCCAATAACCACCACCAGCTCTCCTCCTCCCTCCCTTCAAAACCCTAGCCACAAAACAAAACCAGTGCCTTTTCCGTCCACCACGACCGTACCGGAAACAGGCGGAATCCGGCAAGTTAAACGGATCAAAATTGTAGAGATCAATTTCTCGAATTAGGTCAAATCCAACGCCATTCCGGTGATCGGCGCCGTTCTTTGAAGATAAATAGTAGCTAATTAGTTGTTGATCGGAAGGGTAAAATCGGGTACCGGGAGGAAGCGAAAACGGCGTCGTATCTCCCATAATGGGAGAGAGTGAAGCTATAACTGAGAGTGTTTTGAAGTAGCAGGGGACAAAGAGCTCCGATATAAAAGGGATTTTATATGGACCCAACAAATAAAGAAGCGTGGCCATGAAGTTTCTTCATAATGTCAGCTTATTAATCTCACGTGCTTTCCTCGGAGAATCTCTGTTTCAATTTATATGACATAATTTAAATTTTGATTTTATAATAATAACAAAACACCTTGTGAAATTACACAATTAGAGATGAATATCGAAAGTTAAATAACCAAATTTGATCAGGATTTATTTATATGCCTTTAAAATAATTTAAATTATTAATTTTGTGACTTATAATATTATTTTTTTACATAGTTTCTAAATATATAAATAATTTTTCAAAAACTTTTAAGACTACACGTCTGAATTCAGGATTAAAATAAAGATATTTGATTTTTGAAATCCAAACTATGTCATATAAATTGAGACGTATAGAGTTTTTCTCCGTCTAGACTCAAACTCAAATTAGTTATAAACCGACAATGGATTGTGGTGGATGATTGAAATCTCTCCACCCTTAATCATAAAGGTCTTGAGTTCGATTCCCTAGCCCAAAAAGGGACCCGACTATACGGATTCTTTTATAGACAAGCTTTGTGGTAGTAAATACTTGTTGTCTAAGAAGGATAAAGTGTATGCAGGTCTTATCACTATCTCTAAGTTGTTTTCAAATGATGCTCGACTCAATTGTATCAAAATCAAGTAGAAGAAAAAGAAAGCTTAGTCATTATTTTCTCAGCTAGATTTTGTGTACGCAAACACGGGTACATGATACCGGATGAGAAATAAGAAAGAAGAATCAAATTTCTTTTTATTTCATATCTTGAACAAATCAAACACTTGTCAAACTTACCAACATTAACAATACATCAATTATGAAATAACACAAGTTCTCCAAATACAACACCACCTAAATTAACTTGAGAAACTATCCATGAACTCCTCATCAGTTTCAAGAGAAGCCATGAAGTCAGGTAAAAGACACACTTCCAAATCCATGCTACCATCACTTTCAATCCCTTCATACAAACTAACTTTCCCATCAAACTTGTGTGCATATCCACTTCTAAGTGCCACTCCTTTTCCCAATCCAAATTCATTCCCATACATATCAAATCTTGGAGAACTTCCCATCATAACGCTACTAGGATCGAAAAATCCCAACTGATAAATCATACCACTTTCCAATTTTTCAACCCATTCGCGAATATCTTTGTTCTTGTGATTCACCACAGCTTCATGCATTTCCCAAGCTGCCCAACCAAGGCTGTTTTCAAGAAGTTTTCCCGCTGAGGCAATTCCTCGAACAGTTTGTATGCAATTCCCAAAATAATTTTCTGGCAATGGAGGTTCCAATCTTGCTCTGTTATTAATCGCCATTCTGCAACTTGTTATATGATCAGCAGGGAATTTTCGGACCCTTGTTATACATCTCCACATATGAGCTGACAAAGCTTGTAAAGACGAAATCTTGGAGGTATGACACTCTTGATTTGCTTTAGCTTTGAGTTTCTTTAAAGACTCTGCTGAGAAATGGAAGAATCTTTCTCTTAGATTTGGGGATTCGTGTCTACTAATGAATTGATCATGGTGAGTATAAGGAAGATTAATAATTGGACCATGTCCTTCTGGGAACCAATGGTTAAAATTCGGCGATTTAGAAATGGGAATGCTCTGTTTTTGTCCATTATTAGCTTTGAAAACTTCTGAGAAAGAGTTAAAGAAATGCCAGAAAGAAGAACCATCAGCTAAGACATGGTTAATTGATAAACCAATGAAAACCCCATCAATTAATTCTGTTAATTGAACAGTTAACAAAGATAAATCATGCCCATCATGGTTAATAGCTCTATCATGATCGAAAAACGATTGGACAACTAAAGGCACATCTTTTGGTGAAAGTATATCAGAAACAGTTAAATCAAGATTAGCATGGATAAATCTTGCACCAGGGCTATTAACACAATCGATAAACACAGTGTAAAGAGGGGGATTTTCTTGTTTAAGTGTTTTAAAACGACCAGCTAATGGGTAAAAATGGACAAGGGTGATTGAGAGTGATTCTTTAAGCTTTTGCAATAGAGGATCAAGTTGAAATGATGATGGTTTAGTAAAAAGTAGACCTTTTTGGATATATTGAACAGAAAGCATGGCTAAATCCCATGATGATAGATAAACAGGTTTTTTAGCTTCTTCTGAATTGTAAAGTGGCTTGATGAAACAATCTGATATGTGTTGAACAGTTGGTGAAGAAGACATTTTTTTGTTTTTGGTTTGTTATTTTTCTTCTTGTTATTGTATAGTTTGAAGATTGGGTTTTTATATTGAGGATTTATGACTAGTCCAACTTCTACCTACACCCTCACCAAACCTGTCCAAGTGGGGCTTAGGTAGAGGTTTTTGTGGGTAATTATAAAATGGTTTAAGATAAAATATTATGATGAAAAAAAACAAAAAATGGTATCTTGTACTCCTTTCGTTCCTTTTTATATGTCATACTTACTATAAATAGTTGATTCATAATAATTATCATTTCATAAAATCAATGCATAAATTATAATATTCTTTCTATTATAACATTGATAGTTAATTAATCTTGAAAATAGATATTTGATCAACCTAGGAAAACTAATAAGTAATTAATGTTTGTTGTAATTACTTCATACATTGATGAATTACTCTCACAATTGCATTACTCTATAAAATCTGATTTTAAAAAAGAAATCCCAACAAACAAATTAAAAATAAAAGATGAATTTATTAATCATTTATTGAAAAGTTGACTTCAAAAAAACATGAATTAAGGTTAGAATTGTAAACTTACTTAGTTTTTTAATGCAAGTGAAATTAAAAAAAGTGACATATAAAAAGAAATGGATGGGGTACTTGAATAGGTTTATAATGTTTCCTTAAATTACACATGGACAATGAAAAAAATTTAGACTTGACATCAACTTATATTTGTTAATTTTTGATCTATTTTTGGAGACTTGTATAATTTTTTGAGGTGCAAGTTCTTTTGATAGTTTTTGAAATTTGATCGGACTTTCTTGGTGTATTTGGTCAAATCTCCCCCAATTCCTATACAATATGATATAACAATGAGTTGTTAAATATTCGAAATAGATTTTTCTAATATTTTTGGGTGAAAAAAACTTCACACTTCTTATGAAATATCATATTAACTAATTTCTATTATTCTCTATAAAATATTAATCCTACTATAATTAATTAAGTAGCTAGAGGTTGGTGGAATCCAACATTTATGTGGATTATATCTTCAATAAGAAAAGATACTTTGATTGTGATAATCAACTTCCAATCACAGACTAATTTTATTTTAGCAAAAATAAGTAAATAAATGAACCAATGGGTTTGAATACTTTCGTTTTTTCTGTAGTCACTATATTTGACTAATTACTTTCAAACAACAGAAAATTCAAAGGTCGCACTTCCTCAGAAGTTGCTGTGTATGTTCTACTACCATACTTCTACTCTTGGCAAATTTATGATTTAAATTTTATAGATTTAATTTTTAAAACTCTTAATATTAAATTAATTAAATATTTTAAATTATGAGTTTATATATACTATTCATAACAATCTCAATAAATCTTTGCAAATTGCATATATATATGTTAATCCAAAAAACCAGTCTGAATTTCTTTACTCATTTAGTTAGAATCTTCTGAACTGGTTGAGTATTCTTCATAGATTTCTATAACATGGAACTGTTATTCTAATTGTATCTAGTTGTATAGGTAAATCTACCATATTTTTACAACTAAAGCTATTTCCTTCGAAGGTATATATATATATTATGCTTTGCCTCGAAAGTTATGAATTCAATTGAACCAATTACACGGACTTATAGCGGTACATCCCCCCATGTTTTTCAACCTCTCTGGCGTCTTTGTTTGAGTAATAGATAATTGGAGGTAGTTGACTCCACACAAAATCATACTAATAAAAGTACTTGCGGAACAAGTGTAAGATTTCACCAACTTCTTAATAATCTAAAAATTAAGACAAATAATCTTTCATAGCAGATTGAATGGCGTCATAAATGTAATAAAATATTTTTTTAGATAAGTTAATTTAACAATAATTTTGAAGAAGTTATAACATTGAACAGGTGCATATTGGTTAATCTTTTACTATAGTTAGATGTTATTTGTCCATTGTTATCGGGGGTGGAGCCAGTGTAGAGTTAGGGGGATCGATAAGTGTAATTCAAATTTAAGAAATTCATTATGTACGTATAAATTATTCAGTCTATAACTCAACAAGTTACTCCTATTAAAATTTCGAATCCATAAATTTTAATTATGACTTCTCTGTCTGTCATGATTCCCCACTAACCTTACATTAAAAAAGAGAGAATCTGGATTATGTTTCCCCACTAAACTTAGATGTTATATACTATAACCTGTCATCTATGACCATGTTTTGTTATATATTTTTTTTTTTATTTCCATTTGTGGAGACAACAATTGAGAACCTTAATTTTAAGGGAAAATCTCATATAAGGCAAACAAAATTTATGAAATAACTATAGTTTACATAATTATATTCTATGGGTATAGCTTAGTTTGTTATGTAGCTTTTAATTTGTATAAAGTATTTTTTTTTCTGTTTTTAATTTATACAATATTTTACTTTTTCATTGAATGGTAACATTAGCGCTAAATATGGTAACAAACATTTACATAATCCCATGATTTAAGTTAAACGTTCAAAATCAAATATTTTCCCAAAAGAGAATTCTGTAGCGACAGAAAGACCATACGAACTTGTTTCCGGGCACGACTGAATCATCAGATTGAACAATTTTTTGGTATAGTCAACGACATGTAAGGTTTCATTGAAGGAAACTTCATGTTTTGAACTGCAATATAGTACACAATTGATTAGTATAGCGTAAATGTTGAAATTATTAAACAATTTCTACTTGTGTGTCGATTGTGATTGT